AGTGAGGAAACTGAAAGGAGGGTCGATAAGATCTGCCCAGCCACCAGGCCCTACGCCCAGCACCCTCCCGTCACTGGGGCTCGAGTTTTCTGTCCCACAGACGGTGAGGCCGCAGGCAATGGTGGCGGCGTGACGCTCGCTCTGTTTCAGGACCACACCGGCGGTGCTGTTCTGGCAGTGGATCAACCAGTCCTTCAATGCCGTGGTCAACTACACCAACAGGAGTGGAGACGCCCCCCTCACTGTCAGGTAAGGCCCCGCGGCCCCTCCCCGTGTCCATCCGATGGGGCGGTGATGCTCTCCTGGTTAAAGAGTCTGTTATGGAAGATATTCTCATCAGTGGCCCTTTCCCTCCCGTTCTGTCAAGATATTTGTTCATCTGGCCTGATCTCAGACGTTACTCGTGCCGCTGGCGGCGCTGTAGGAAGGCAGGTCCCCCTCACCCTCAGGCTCTGCTCCCCCAGAACACACGGAGCTCAGGCTGGCCTGGCGTGAACCGCACGCTGCACCCCGTCTACCCTGTGCGCGTGGACAGACTGCCGGCGCCCAAAGCGGCGGCGTCCACGGTGCAACTGACCTCCGCAGAGGTCAGGGGGCTTTACACCTGATGGTCTTACACATCGGCCCTGGATGGAGCCAGAAAGGAAGGGAATGGGTTTGAGCTGTGCCCCCTGAGGAAGTTTTAGACGGGCCAGAGGGATCCGTCAGGCAGAACTTTTAGCTTGGCTCCTCCCACACGCCAGGGTGTTGTCTTATCACTCCAATTGCTTTGACAGTGTGTGTTCTGTCATCATGGGTAACCAGCAGTGACTGTCACAGCGCCTCGCACCCAATCCGTGAGCTAAAGCGCATTTCTAAACAGGACAGAATTGCTTGGGCCTAACTGTATTTCAGAGATGAGACTTTTTGAAATCGTATACACTAAGATACCATTCTAGGAAGAACAGCCTTGCACGTTGGCTCTCAGCGTGCGTCTTCACACTTGGAAGTTATTTTATGTTCGTTTAGTGGATGTGCCGCAGACACGTGGGCCGCTGTGCATTTCCCACACCCGCCGTGTCCTGCGCGCTCACGGGCCCCTTCTCCATCCGCGTCCGTGTTCGGGTTGTGTCAGGTCCCTGTGAGGAATCGCGCTGTTTGTGGGTTACCTGCCTTTTCTCCAGGTTACTCCACCTGCAGGTGACTCTGTTTTCTGGACTCTCTGCTCTCATGCCCTTGCACAGCCCCCCATCATTTCCTTAAACAAGGGCCAGTTTCCCAATGGTCACCCGTTGTGTGTGCTGTTCTCTTTCTTCTCAGTGAGCTGGGAACGGCTTACGTGTCTGCAACAACTGGCGCTGTGGCGACCGCTCTAGGACTCAACGCACTGGCCAAGGTACACGGATCTTTATTCCATGGGCAAGCTCGTAACTGCTTCTCACCACCTGGCTCCTAGTCACTCCACCGTTTCTCAAAATAGTTCAAGTCCTAAGACTTTCTTATTATGGTCATTCTCTTCGACTGCTTATTTGTGTGTGTGTGTGTGTGTGCTTTTAAAAAATATTTTTATTGATTTCAGAGGAAGGGAGAGGGAGAGGCAGGCCGACACTCTATCCAATGAGTCAGACCAGCTTGGGTGCAACTGCATGTTTTAATTACAGCTTCCTTGGGAAGGGGTGTCCCCCACAGCCAAGACGCTGGTCTGTGCCTGACATAGTGTTAAATTACGTGCTCACCCACCAGAACGGCCCACCAGCGGCTGTGCGGGCAGCGGGCCTCAGTCCACACCTCTGAAGAGGCGGCGAGCCAACACCTGACCCCAAGAGTTTGGGACTCAATGCCCCTCCACACTAAGCTGCCAAAATGTCTGAGAAGTCGCATACGCCCCGCTAGATATACAAATACCGCTAGGTAACAGGTCGAGAAAGGACTCCTGGCCTGAGTTTCTGTACACAGGACTGCATTTTCAGCAGTTTTCAGGAAGCAATAAGCATTGCTACCCAGGAATCCAGGAAACGTGAGATCATGCTTTCGGATTTCTCCTCTGCAGCACGTGTCACCACTCATAGGACGCTTCGTGCCCTTTGCTGCCGTAGCTGCTGCGAATTGCATCAATATCCCACTGATGCGACAAAGGTTAGTCATGGGCATTTCTAGAAATGACTTGTGCTTACAGTACAGACAGTCCTCGGATTACGTCAGACTCGACGTACGTCGTTTCGTGTTACGTCGCCGTCTCCCATTTATCATTTATTAAAAAGTTCATTCGTTTTGACATATGTACGTGTGTGCTTTATGTTTTTTATTATTTATTTACCACAAGTAAAGATCAGGTATTGTTATCTTTCTTTTAAATTTTTTTACTGTTTCACTTCATTGCTGCTGTGTCTGTGTTCCCTGTGAGTGACGTAGGTGTTTATGTAGGTGGGTTCTGACGGCGAAAATCGCATTACGTCGCCGTAGGAACGGATCTCCAACGTAACCCAAGGACCTACTGTCATAATAAGATTCTTATAAGAATTCACTTCGTTAAAACTTTTAAAATTATTTTAACATTTACAGATAGAATCATATGAGATTGGGGATTTGTGTCAAAATAATCTGGAGTTGGAAGTGAGGATGGGTCCACTGATGGACAGGCTTAGCCTCTGAGCTGCTAATTCCTGGGACAGGCTGAGTGCAGGAGCTAGAATACCCTTTCTGCTTCCGTATCCCAGAGGCTAAGAGCACCCCTCACACTCAGATCTAGTGCCAGGGCGGGCAGAGCAGGTCTACACACAGGAAGTTTGTTCTCTCAACAGGTCCTTCTTTTCCCCCAGCATTTCCTTTTGGAATTTAAAATAATATTAATCTATATCTTTGGAACGTTTTTTTGTTTGTTTGTTTGTTTTTACAGTTTAGAGAAGAAAGAACAAGAAAAAACATTTTGGAATGGATAATGAGGAACAGGGTAGCGGCAGGAGCTGTAGGGGTAGCGTTGGGAACTGTCGCTTGTCACTGACTTGTTACAAATACCCCTTAGCGCCATCTGCTGGTGACTCCTGGGTCCTCGGGTCCCTCAGCGCGGCCACATGTCCAGGTCTACCTCTCCTTTGGAAAGTCGCTCTAACTTGCACATCAGCATCAAAATCACCCT